GATGGACGGTTGCGACAGCCAGAATGTTTCTGGTGAATTGCAAGGCCTTCACAGCGTCGCCTGCTGCTTCTTCAGCTGCAACTTCGCATAAGACATCTTGGAAGGTGACTTCAGCTTTAGCAAATATTTTTTGTTGCAGCTCCCTGTTTCTAAGGTCGCAAATGAAGCGGTCTCATAAGTGTTCTTCCAGGTCCTTGAATTCACAAGGCCTGGCAGCTTGTCTCAAGGCAGCGATGAACTCAGCAGCAGACTCGCCCGGCTTCTGGTCCCTCTGCTCAAAAGCATGCCTCCACACAATCACAGAAAGCTTGGGATGGAAGTGATCCTTCAGCATGTTTTTAAGTCTGTGTAGGTGCAGACTCCAGTGGTGCAGGGGCTACCAGGTTTTTGGCCACATCGAAAATGATCTGAGCACAGACGCATAGCAGGGTTGCCGCTTTCAGGCTGTCTTCCCGAACCTGGTTAACCCTTAGGTAATTTTCTACCCGGGCCACATAGGAGTTCCAGCGCTCTGGGTGAGAGACATCGAACTCTGAGAGACGTCCTATCTTTGACATCTTCTGCTTCGAATGCCTCGCTGCAAGACTTCGTTGAGGGGAAGGGCCCGTTTGCCAAGCTCACCTCCAGCGATGCTGTACTGGCAGGTGAGTGCAGATCTGGACACCGATTTCCAGACTTCAGGCTCTTCAGATGAGGCTTATCCTCTTCTTACTGCCTTTTTCCTTGCAGCGATCCCACCTTCGTCGCCACTTTTGTGTTTTGGGGTTCGAGGCATTGATGCACAACACATGTTGGAATCAAACTTCTTTTATTGCTCCTTAGCTCCACTTCACTCACTTTGCAAACAGGCACACAGGCCTTTTATAGTTTTCCAACCCCCAGGCAGTCCAGCCAATAGGAATCCCTCTTTCTTCACACCTTGCACATGCACAGAAGTCCAGCGCCAGCTAGTCTGGTCCCAGGCAGCTTTTAGGTTGCCTGGGACCATTTGCAACATTTCTGGGCCTGCTGAGATGCCTCATCAGGCCCAGGACACAACAGTTGGCACACGTCCTCCCCCTCTGGATGAAAGGAGACCCCAAAATTGTTCTTGATTCTAGTAGCCCCCCTTGGGATTTTAAGTCCATAGGGTCCCCCTTCGGGAATTTGATTTCTGCCATCCTCCAATTCACCCAGGGGTTCCATTTTTTTAACCATTCCATCCCTAGGATTATTGGACATTCCATGCCTGGGGTCACCACAAACGTTATGTCTTCCTCATGTTTGCCCAGGGAGAGCTGTATTGGTAAAGTGGCTAGGGTAGCTGGCACTCCCCCTTCTATGGACCCATCTAACTGGCCAAATGAGATTGGTTGTTCCAGTCTCTTTGACGGAATGCCCAGATTCCCCACTAGCGTCGGGCTAATGAGGCAGCAGGTGCAGCCAGAGTCTATTAAGGCTTTCATCTTCATGGCTTCGGGCATGGGGGGAATTAATATAGTCACTGTCTTGAGGATGGGTGTGATGCGTCCATTTACCAGGGGTTCGCCCTCTGAGCTGTCATCTGAGGCGTCCACCAGCTCTGCGGTGTAGACTGGAGTTCTTTCCCCCGATGAGCAGAGGTGGGGGATTCCACAGCCTCCATCATTCTCATGGTAGGTTCTTTTGGCTTAGCTGGAGACTTTCCAGATTTGCTGGCCGGTGATCTGTCTGGGTTGTGCTGGGGGTCTTTTGAGCGGCATTCTACAGCCTGATGCCCTTCTCTCCCACACTTGAAACACTCCATTTGCTTCTTGGCTGTAGCCGATGGTTTCACTGGTTCGCGTGTCAACTCAGGCAGTGAGTGGCTCCCTTGTTTTCCTGGGCGGTGCCTCTTCAATATATCGATCTCTGCTTCCTCTGCCAAGATGTACCATTCCTCAAGTTGGTGTGGGTCCTCTCAGGGCAGGCAAGCATCGTATAGGTCATAATTTAGTCCATCTTTGAAATGGCTAAGGAGGATGTTTTCCGGCCAGTTCAGTTTGCTGGCAATGGCCCGGAATTCTTGCGTATATTCGGCTACCGAGTGTTTGCCTTGCCTCATCATTTTTATCCTTTTGCGGGCTTTGCGATCAGCCAGGGGGTCCTCAAATTGCCTTCTCAGAGAGGACATGAAACGGTTGAAGTCGTTGAGCTCTGGGCATTGGAGTCGTGCAAGTTCACCACCCAATCTGCGGCTGGCCCGTCCAGGGCAGATTGCATGATCCGGATACAGGCTTTGTCGCTGGGGATGTCCCGCCCGTATTCCTCCATGTAGCTGAGGACTTGGGTTAGGAAAAACCCCAAGTGTGTTGGCTCCCCCTTGAATTTCACATCCAGCAGCAGGAGTCTTTGAATGGACCGGTGCCTTCGTTGTTGGTGGTAGTGTCTTTCATCCAGATCGCCATCTGTGGGTTGGCGGGGAGTGGGGACTCCTCGATAAGCAGATGTCCCCGGGGCTGCGGGTTCCACTTCCCCCTTGGTGTCTCTCCCTTTGTGACTCCAGGAGCTGGGGCAGCCGTAGGGCTCAGAATTCTCCTCTCCTAGGGAGCTGAGAGTTCTCTTCATCAGGTCGATAGCTTTTTCTAGGATGGGTACGGTGCCCAGTTCCCTTCCTTTTCACTTGCGTGCAGGGATTTCTCCATCTCCTGCTTCCATTCTGGTTGGTTGGCCCCCCGTCTCAGGGTCACCTTTCTTGATTTCTTTTCCCACTCGCCTTTCTTTCCAACACCCATTGACCATCGAGGTTTGTGGTCCCATGCCTCCACCACCTCTTCTCCGGAGGAATCTGACCTCTCAGATCCCGACATCTGGCAGGGTTTCAGTTGGGACAGTGGCTCCCTTTCTGGGAAGTTTTCTCCCTTCCTTGCTCCGCCGTCTGACATGGTAATTTTGCAAAGTCGCCCGGCAAGGGTCTCCCTTCCAGGTGGACTAATTCTGCAAGTTCTGTCTAATGTAAGGACCCACCCCACTTTGCATCTTAAGAAGACAGAACTCTTGGAATATTTCTTCCAACAGGCCTCCTTTATTAAGAGAAAATGGTTGCAGGCGTTCTAGACAGGATTTGGAGGCCAAGCCCTATGGTTCAAGGTTTTAAGGAGTTCCCAGCAACCCCACCCCACCACACCATCCTTCCAGTGACAATCCCAGGCGTTACATTTCCACCCCCTTTTCCTCACTGCCAGCGGAAGGGAGACTTCAGAAGGGAGTAGATGAAAGCTGATGGCCCCATTGTTTTGTGTAGTCCTTTTGGTGTTATCCACATTCAGTCCCGTTTGAAGTTGTACTGAAGGGCCATAAAACCCCTTTGTTCAACCCCCTTCCCCTTCATCATTTGACAGAATCCAGAGAGGGCAGAAATGGGGTTTTCCATAGTCGATAACTAGAGATGAACTATAATTGGATTCTGACAGAATGCCACTCCATCAAACTCAGCCCCAAAACTGGGGTGACTTCGGGAGGAAAGGTGGAAAAACTGGCTCCACGGTCCCATGAGACAGTGCTGAAGGGGGTGGAAGTCATTGAGTTCACACCTCCTAACTATTAGGTATTGGAAACTTTGCTCCGGGTGAGAGTGAATCTGATTCTGACAATGATGCCCTGTTAAGTCAACATGTAATCCCTGTGACCATCCCTGTGGCACCCTGTTGGAAGAAATTGTTTCCAAGACTCCGCTTTCTTAAGATGTGGGCTGAAGTGGGTCCTTACACTACCTATACAAAGGGGTTTTGGTGTATTTGGATGATATTTTAATATATACTGAGACTCTGAAGGGGCCATGTGAAGTTGGTGTGCATGGTCCTAAAGAGACTCCGAGTGGCTGAATTGTATGCAAAGCTTTCCAAATGTGAATTTCACCAAGATAAGATTGACTACCTGGGTTACCATATATCCCATATAGGAGCAGAGATGGACCCAGAAAAAGTGTGGGCAGTGTTAGAGTTGGCCCCTTCCCTGCACCAGGAAGCAGTTACAAAGTTTCTTAAGTTTTGGGGTGACTTTCAACCTAATTTTTATGTGTGCTTGCTTCAGACCTTGCCTGAACTTCATTGCATTTAGATCTTTCCTAGTAAAAGTACCTTTTCTCTAAATTCATGGAGTCAAGGGTTTTCTTTCCTGGGAATTGATTGGGGCAGTCCTGACAGCTAAGTTTTAGATTCAAAAAGCCTGCTGCTATGAGTTCACCTCACTGGGAGTAGAAAATTCTTCTCATGGCTAATATAGATTTTGATGTTAGTTGTATAATATGGGTAGTCCTCGCACTTGGGACTGGCAATTCTGTTCCTAAGTGATTCTTCTACTAACTTCTTGATCAGACCAATGGTTTAGAATTATATTTTTAAAATGCCACAGATGTTTCATTGGAATAAATGTTTCAGCTTTATAGTTCTGAAATATCTTTATAAGGATCAACCAACATAGCACCAAAAATGTGGATATTTTTTTCCAATCATTCCAATATATTGTCAGTATGAATCATATTGCTGCCTGCAAACTTCCTATATTGACCATATAAACTGTAAGTGAGAATCAAATTGTCACTGGTATCTGGCATTTATTACAACATCCCTGCTTTCTCAAATTTTCTGTTCAGTTTAACTTGTGCAGAATGAATGATGAAACATAATATTAGGAATTGCATCACATTAAGTAAGATCTTAATTTCTTACTGGAAGTTGTTTCAAGAGGAAAGACTTCATAGTATCATAGGTTGGAAGGGACCTCGGAGATCATCTAGAGTTTTATACCATCCCAGTCAAATGGCTGTCCAGTCTATTTTTTAAAATCTCCAGTGGTTTATACAATACCATCCCAAGTTACTCTTCCTCCAGCAACTGTCAAAAATGCCAACCATGGGTCCCTCCCATTCAGTCCATTATCACTTTTTAGCAATTGCACACAAATACTATATTTGTGATATGATAATGTGGACCTGTGGGAAAAATCAGTATAGCCCATAGCCAGTATATCTCATGAATACATTGTAATAATCCTTAAATTACCTGCAGGATACAGCAGCTTGTCTATGACATGAATCACACCATTAGTTGCCATGAGATCAGATTCTGTTGATTTCACTTCATTTACCAGAAGAGTGTCATTTATCTAAGCAATAATCAACAAAAATTAAAACAAGAAAATTATTTACAATTACTGAAAGTAATATTTTTATCTCCAATATTAGAGAAATTTGGAGATTTAGGTAAACTTAAAGAAGTTGTAGAATTTTAGTCGACGGTAATGCATAGTTTTTGCAAGGATGCTCCCCACTGTCAGTTTGGATATGTAATGGTCAGTGAATTAACTATAAACAAAGCTAAGGGTCTTTTTTAAAAAAGCTATAGCTACTTACCATTTTCAAATATAGTTTGCTACCTTGGATAGTTTTAAGAATGCTAGTCACACCAGGTTCAATTCCATTTGCAATGAAAACTCCTCGTATCAAATGATAAAGCAAAATATTCCTAAGAGCATTTTGGTCTCCTGGCGGGAAAAAAAAAAAGATGGGTATTCTACTTCAAACAAAATTAAGCAAATTTGCAACTTCTATGAAAATAAATCCTTTATTGAAATCTGACATATAAATCATAAGTGAGAACAAGCCAAAAATAACTCCTGTAACAGAAAGAAGTGGCAGTCATTGCCCTTTCTGTGGGCACGCATGCTGTCGCCCCAGCCCCAACTCCCCCCATGGCCCCCTCCTCACCAGCAGTCCCCCCGGAGGAGAGTTGTCCCCAGGCATGGCCTGCGCAGAGCACTGCAGCCAAGGACATGGCGGCTAGGCAGCAGGGATAAGACTCCACCCTCATGCCCCATTGCACGCAGATGATGTTGCAGGGCACGGGGCGTGGCCGCCATGGTGCTGCTGGGCCATCTGGGCGATCTGCTGCAGTGGGCCGTGGAGGTGGTGGGTGGCCCTGCGGGCAGATGGGTGGGGCGGAGCGTGGGACAGGCGGGGCAAGGTGGGTGGAGCAGGGGGCAGTGCCAGTTTTTGAGCACTCGGTCTCTAAAAGATTCACCATCACTGCCCTACCCCATACAGAAATCCAAACTAAATCAACCACAACAGCTAGTTGCTGAAAACATATTCAGTAGCTAGAAGCTAAAATATATATTCAGTGACTGTGAGGCTACCAAAATCTCTCTCTCTTCCATCTTCCTGTCTCCCTCTCCCTACCCCCCCCCAAATATGGAAAGATTATTCTTGAGACATCTTCTGAAATTTCAATACATTATTTTATGACTTATTATAGAATTTTCCAGATACCAATGAAAGTCTGACTGGTGTGTCTTTCTTCTTGAAAATATATTTTATAACCCAAACCATGAGCAAATTCCTTCAGTATCCTCAAATACAATTCATTTGTATTTTAAAATTTGGAAATTTAAATTTATTCATAATAAATAGGTATTCTCTGACAATAACTCTTGTCCTTCAATCCTGCCATTTATTCTATTTTACATAGAATAAGCCAAAAGAGATAGGTAGAACTGTTAGCATTGGTTTTTTTTTTATTTTGGCTGAATAGATAATGTACTTCCTTCTTCCTTTTATTTTCAACATATCTACACAACATTTTTTTGTTCTAATTGTTAGTTTTTTTATATTATCTCTACAGTATCTGTGCCATTCTTCTTTGGTGACCTGTCACATTTTCTATCTCTTATATGTATTCTTCAGATCTTTACCAAGCTATTTGGGCAACTAGTTTCATTTCTTTTGTTAACTTCTTCTTTGGGAAATTATTTATGATTTCTATTGCTATTACCTTTTTTAAAAATATAAATCTATAGAATATTGAACATTTTCTGCCATGGATTCATATAATAATTGCTCTAAGTTCTCAAAATATTCCTTTCTCTTTGAAGGTTAATAGACATATATGTTAGTTTCAGGTTCTTTTAAAATCAAGAATTCCAGACTGTTACGGTCACCTTTCAACACTGACTATTGGTCAGCATCAAATCAAGGAGAACACTGTCAGTAAGACATAAGGAAGTGAGGAAGAGGCAAAATATATTGTCAAAGCAATAACCATATACCTATAAGGTATCAAAAACAAAATATAAACAAATATGAATTCTATATTATCAAATAGTGTTGACTTGTTTTTATATTTTTAATTGCCTCTGGACAAGATGGGTGGCACACAAATCAAATAGATGATAGATAGATAGATAGATAGATAGATAGATAGATAGATAGATAGATAGATAGATAATACCTGCCATGGAGTCACACTTTGTTTTATTTGGGGGGAGGCTTTTGGTTCACCTACAAGAGTGGAATGGCTTTTTTTTTTAAATCAAAGTTTGATATACATACTATAGGATTTATTTTATCAAAAAGGAGGAGAAAAGAAATAATTGCATTATTGGAAATTAAATTTTGCTGCTGAATTTTGGCAGTATAATATCAGGACCATAAAGACCATTTTAAAAAAACAAAATAACTAAGAGAAATCATATTACAATTCTCATAGTGCAAAAGAAGAAATGAAACAATTCATTCCCAGAGAATGCCCTTGTTTATCTTTTTATGACTCACTTATCAGAATCTCTTTCTCCTGTTCAGTCAAGCCTTTGAAAGCATCATTTGTTGGAACAAAGAAAGTCCAATCACCAGGCTGGGATAGAACCTCTTCTAAGCCTGCAGCTTCCACAAGATTGAGGAAAAGGCTGAGGATGAAAACAATACCAAATATAATATATCTCTCAGTGTTGCCAATTGACAGAACATTAAAATGAAATTGTATATAGAAAGTAGAATATGCAGTACTACCAATATCAAAGTCATTTTTATTTTGTATTCAGTTTCAACCACTCAATTCTGCTTGTTATGAAGTGCCCAAATAACAATGATAGCAGGATATAGGTGTAAATTCAAGGACTAGTCACAAAGCTGATTTTTTTTCCAATGGTCATAACTTCAAACAATCAATAAACAGGCAGTTGATAAGTGACAACTACCCATATTCTAAAGTCTTGGAAGACCTCCAACTCTGTTATTCTGTTATTTTTGGAGCAGGTCTAGTATAGCCTTGTATTTGGGTGCTTTTGCAGCCTTCAGTTGAGTTATCTGTATGGAATTCCTATAGAAAAACTCTAGACGGGTCAGTAGTGGAAAGGGAAGGGATAAAAGTGGATCTGAACTCATTGAATTGAATAACTGTGGCTAGACATCAACTTTCAATTTAAAAAAGTGGGGGAGGAAATAATCCCTAAAAGGAATGGATTATTCTAAGGATAATGGACGGCAGCTATGTTCATCACTATACCACCAATGCTTTTATCAATTATCAGAAAACTAAAATCATGGCATTTGCCAAAAGACTCAAAAGCCATTCTTGGAACATAGATGACCACAAAATTGGGCAGATTTCCTGATTCAACTACTTGAGGATAATCCATCCTTCTGCTGATAGTAGGAAATCCATAACTGTGCTGCACCATAAATGTTGCAGAAAATGTGCTACTGTAGTTGCTTATCTGCCATTCTTAAATTCTCTAAAACAAGAGGTAGTCACTATATGCCTGCCACACTTAAATTATTCAAAGCCAAGCCAATAACATGTTCTTCATGGTTTCCCAACTAAGCTCCTTCTCCAATCTTTACTATTAGAACCTGTGCAATCCAAATTTCTAAGATCAGTCCTTCATGTCCTAAAATGTGTTTCTAATCCTAACTGCAATTAGAAACAGGCCTCATGAAAGTGGAAGCTAGTGTGTAGATGATCATACTCAGCCATTTGTTTAGACTTTAGTTAATTCCCCTTGGTCTTGTCTGATTAGCTATGAGTGATCCACATGGGAAAAGGTAGTGACAACTATAACAGAATAACAGAGGGACTTTGGAGGTCTTCTAGTCAAACCCCTGCTCAAGAAGGAGAACAATTTCAAATAAATGGCTGTCCAGTCTCTTCTTAAAAGTCTCCAGTGATGGACACCCACAAATTCTGAAGGTAAGCCATTCCACTAGTTAATTATTTTCACTATCAGGAAATTCCCATCCTTGGGCTTCTCTCCAGGTCTTCTTATCAGCCTAGTATATGATTATTCCAAAATGTTCATTAAATAGCATGTAGCAGCCACAGATTGCCAAACTGGATGTAGCCAGGATCCCAACATTTATTGTCAGTGAATCGCTTAGATAGTCTGCCTCCCCTATGGCATAACTAACCTTGAAATACCTAAACACAGGAGGGCCTTTGCTCTGGCATAAAGTTATGAAACCCCCCCCCCTCAGCTGTCTTTGAAGACTGATACATGAAGATTCCTTACTTGGAAAGGTAATGCCCCTATAATCTGAATACACATAAACAACGGAGCACATGCTTCTTAGTCCCTGTATTACAGAAAAATTTGAATTAGCCTCATCTCACCATAACTTCATAAATATCCAAGGTACACAGGCCAATTTTACACCTCTCAATTCTATACTTTTAAATATCAATTCTGCTAAAACATACATTGTTGCCAGGTTCTACATAGCAGTGCTTAAAATTGGTCATAGTATGATCTGTGCCATAAATTAGACTTAATGAGCATCTAGTTTGTCATACTAGAGAGCTCTGTAATTTGATATAGACTTAGATTAAATACTAACTTTGGTCTACGACCATAATAAAGATTTGCTTTGATTTGACTAAGGCGAATGTCCCCTCCAAGAACTAAGTTTTGTTTTTCTCAGTCATCTTCTGGAGCATCTCTAAGTTGTGCTGGTCTATTCCTATACCAGTCAGGACAATGTATTTCTGGAACAATATAGAACAGAACAGAACAGAATGCATAAATTGGCTAGAAATAAAAGGTGCCTTAAAAAATTCTGTGAATCAATCAATCAATCAGAATAGATCTGGAAGGGACCTTGGAGGTCTTCTCGTCCAGCCCCCTGCTCAAGCAGGAGACCCTACCATTTCAGACAAGTGACTGTCCAGTCTCGTCTTAAAAACCTCCAGTGATGGAGCCCCCACGATTTCTGAAGGCAAGCTGTTCCACTAATTAATTGTCCTCACTGTTAAGAAATGTCTCCTTAATTCCAAATTGCTTTTCTCTTTGATCAGTTTCCAGCCATTGTTTCTTGTCCTGCCTTCTGGTGCTTTGGAGAATAATTTGATCCTTTCTTCTTTATGTCAGCCCCTCAAATATTTGTATTCATATAGTAATATCTACTGACATTTCTAATATTAAATATGAAAGCATTATTGTATAGCTTCATATTTTTGGTACCTTCTAATAGTTAAAATTGCTTACTACACCTGAATCGTTTGTCAGATCGCAATACTTCATGCAGAGTTCTTTCTGCTGGTTTGATTATTTGTCTGAAAATATGGATAAATCCATTTCTTCCCTCTTTGCTTCCTCGAATCATGCATGAATTTTCAAAACACACAGCCTAGCAATATAAAAGGCAAACAGCATATGAGCTAAATCTCACTGGAAAATACATAAAAACATTTTGTATGGAAAAGTTTTATGTAGTATAAAATATTATCCATTTAGTTCTTGTGCAAGCAGTCTGCTAAAATAAATATAACATTTTCTTTGATGGCTGAATAAAAGTCACCATGAAAATAACATCATAGTGATTTTAGTAACTTTTTCTGAACAGGTCAAAAATGATCATTCAGGGCCAAGCATAAGAACTTTAATGTGTAAACAATTATAAGATGTATCTAAATAACTCCACAGAAACTAAATCTTTAGTATCTTACTAAGGCTATTGAATCTAGAATCATAAATTTTCTTTAATATATTAACTAAATATAACATTTCAAGGGTGAACTTGAAATCCTAGTACATGAGGGTAGACTGCTTTCAATCTTTCAAATGAAGCTTATTTCCAAGAAATACTGCACTGTACTAAACTGTTTATACATATATTACTAATATACTTTTGTCCCATTATTTCAGGAATTTCTTCTCTGAAAAAAAATACCTTTAGAAACAAAACAAGCACATTTTGTTCCTAAGTGTCTTAGGACCAGATTCTGCTCATCTTGAAATCAGTGTCAATCCAAATAGCCAATTAAAGCAAGGACATAAATTGAGCAGAACATTATTGAGTTTAGATACTGGATTTAGCTGATAAAATTCTATATTTAATAAATGCACCAATATTCTACTTTCATTTCCAAAGCTGTAAAATTGCTCCCATAATACATATCAGGAAATGTATTCCAAACAAAAAAAAAAATAAGATCAATTACAGCATTTACACCTACACCTACACAGAATGGTTAAATGTAAGGTTGCTGGAAAGTAGATTGGAATTTGCTTATCTAGTCAGTTCCATTATTTTACAAAGCTATCCTAGCTGTGTTTAATACTTATATTTTCCCTGTGTGTTCAAATAAGTTAATTTCAGCTCTCAGTGTTTAGCCTTAACCTTTTTAATGGGCTATGTGGCATAATCTTTGACTGAAGCATGACTACAGAGTTAAAATTTTACTATCTTTTACTATAATATATTTTTAAAAATCTTTAATTTTACTTACTGTTCGATATAGAAATACTCTTAGCTTCTTTCCTCCTAGTGTTTCCAAGAATTGCCCATTGTAGAGATCATTCAAACCAACTTTCACTTTCAAAATGTGATTCTGCAGAATCTGTTTAAGGATTCTCTGATCCATTTTTAAAGTATCATCTAACAATTTAAAAAAACATAAAATCTACATTAAGTTTCTTTTGTGTAATTTAACATATGCAAGGCATGATATTAATTTTAAATGTAGTGAAAATGCTACCTACACATAGTCATAATTTGGGGCTCAGTTTTTCACATCAATTTTTAACATGCCATCATTTTATTTTAATTGCATGTACATGATCACTAAATGTCTTCATACTGTTCTATTTCGATCGCAAAGGCATGAAGACAAGGCAGGAGTAACAAACAGTATTGTCTTTATTCAATGCACCAACAGAACCAAAAACAAAATGGCACGGATTCCTCTTATACCCTTTGCAGGGATAGTATCAGCCAATCAACGCCAAGCATTTCTCCCACCTTGCGCATGCACGCAAGGTGGGAGACAGCCTGTCTGGTCCTGGGCATTCACGTGGTCTGCCCAGGCCTTTCTGCAGCTTCCTGCACCTGCTGAATGATTCAGCAGGCCCAGGACATAACTCCCCTCCCCCCTTGGATAAAACAATAAGCAAATACTTATTATTTTAAATTACTACAAACTATTCCAGTTCTTCATCTCCTTTGTTCACAACAGTAATATTCAATATTTTGTACTACTATAACTTCAACACTTGTTTCTTCTGAAGCATTCTACTTTATGTAGAACTATTAAGCTTCCTCCATACTTGACAGGAACCTCACATAGTCCTTTAAGTATTTGGGTGGACCCTTGGCCCACTCTGACCTTCTTGTAGCAGGTGTGATTGCCTGGTCTACCAGCTCGCCTGCCAGGTAAGGCAGACCAGGACTTTAATGCCCCCTAGACTCAGGCGACCCTCCATGCTGCTGACTGGCTGGATCCTCTAAACCCAGACCAGAGGTCCTTGGTGGGGTGGAATCCCCCAAGTCCATTGGTGGGGTGGAATTCCCCAAATCCACAATGGACCCCTTTTGGGAGCACTGTCCCGTGAGCCCAAGACTAGCAGATGGATTGGCCTGAAAAGCCAATTGCGAGCAATGTCCCATGGACCCGGTGCCGGTGCCAGGGTCAGGAGTGCCAGAGTGAGGAGCCACCTCCATGGCAAGACCCCCTACTGGCGCCTGGGAAATTCCGCTTTTGCGGAGAGACTGTGGTCCACAATCATAATTGGGATCCTCCTCCCCCCCGAGAGCAGAGTCAGGAGTGGAAGTGTGGCTGGGAAGCCTCCAGCGCAGTTGGTCGATGTGTCGACAGATCACCCGACCATCATCCAAGGCCACTTTGTACGACAGCGGCCCAGAGACCTTGCATACCACTGCTGTCACTCAGAGATGTCCAGGTCCATAGTTCCTTGCCCAGACTGGCTCACCCACCTGTAGTCTCCTAGGTGCCCGCGGCTGTGACACCTGTGAAGCCACCTGGTCTGGATGCAACCTGTCCAGTTTAGTAATGAGTCTGCAACCCCAGGGGAGTTCAGCTGGGCTCTTCCCAGTGGCTGTGCAAGGTGTGGTGCGGTGGCAAAGAAGGAAGTCAGCTAACCTGTAATATCAATTTTCATGAGTGATCCTCTTTAAAGCATCCTTAGTTGTGTGCACTATATGCTCAGCTTGGCTGTTGGACGCTGGATGAAATGGTGCTGACGTGGCATGATGGATCAAGTTGACCTGTAGAAAAGCCTGAAACTCAGAAGAAGTGAATTGGAATCCGTTGTAGGAGACAAGGACATCTGAAAGTCCATGAGAGGTGAAAATCCCTCTCAACAGCTGGATGGACCTGGCAGTAGTAGTGGAGGAGACTGGAACGACCTCTAGCCACTTGGAATGGCTTTCCATGAGTAGGAGGAAGACTTGCCCCTGAAAGGGCCCAGTGTAGTCGATATGAACCCTCGACGAAGGGGCATGTGTCACCTCCTACGTATGTACAGGAGCCAGAGGCATTTCAGGCCTAGACTATTGGCAAACAGTGCACTCGTGGACCTGGGCCTTGATCTCTTTATCGAGCCCAGGCCACCAAAGATGACTGCGTGCAAGCGCCTTCATCCAGACTATTCCCGGATGTCCCTCATGCAGAGAGAGCAAGACTCTAATCCTCAAAGAGGCTGGGATGACTACCCTGCTACCCCATAGGACACACCCCTTGAAGGTGGATAGCTCGTGCTTCCTCTTCCAGAAACTCTGGAACTCTGTTCCAGGACACATGTCAGGCCATCCTGACAGCACCCATGTCAGCACACGTGTTAGCGTGTGATCAGTGGCTGTTTCTGCAGCCACGTCCCTGGCATGGAGGGGAGACTCAGGCAATTCCTGAATGGAAAGTATGTGGTGAGCTGGAGCAGGATCTGACACTACTAGCTGTAGAGGTAATCTGCTGGTAATCTGCATGGCCATTTCTTTGCCTGGTTTGTGAACCAGTGTGTAGTCATATACAGAAAGGAAAATAGACCATCTCAGCATTCTAGGGGAAATTATATGTGGGGTTTGCTTGTTGGTTGTAAAAAACCCCAGCAGTGGCTTATGGTCTGTAAAGACAGTGAAATGGCAGCCATATAAAAAGTCATGGAACTTTTTTATGCCAGCCACTATGGCCAAGGCTTCTCTATCTATCTGTGCATAATTACGTTCCACAGATGATAGGGTCCTAGAATAGTAGGCTGCAGGGACTTGTGTTCCATCAGCCTTCAAGTGACTTAACATAGCCCCAATCCCATAAGGGGATGCATCACAGGCTATACATATAGGCAATTGCTCATTGAAATGCGCTAGAACCGCATTTGACGACAGCAAGGCCTTGACCTTTGCAAAGCTCTTTTCGTGGACTTTTGTCCACTGCCATGGAGCCTGTTTATCCAAGAGCTGGTGTAATGGCTCAGCCACTGCAGCCTTGTGAAGGAGCAATGAATGATAAAAGTTTAACAGTCCCAGAAAAGCCTGAAGTTCACTTTTGGACTTGGGACTTGGGGTCTGCTGAATTGCTTTAAGCTTAGATTCAACAGGATGGATGCCTTCAGCATCAATACGGAACCCCAGAAACTCTGTTGAAGTGACCCCAATTTTACATTTCTCTTGCTTTAGCTTCAGCCCCGCTTGGCAGAAATGCCAGATTTTCAGATGATTCCCCAGCGATGAGGATATTATCAAAGTATGGGCAAATGCCTGGAATATTGTGGAGCATTCGCTCCATCACACTCTGGAAGATGCCAGAGACTACATTAACCCCAAACTGCAGCCTTTTAACTTTAAATGCTCCCCGGTGTGTTACAATTGTTTGGGCCTCTGCCATTGCCTCATCAACTGGTAATTGTTGATAGGCCTGAGCCAAGTCAAGTTTGGCAAAAACATGGCTTCCTTTGAGGGAGGCCAGAATGTGACTCACCACTGGCACCGGGTACGAGTGCTGCTGCAATGCTTTGTTAAGTGTACACTTATAGTCCGCACAAATTCAGATTTCTCCATTGGCCTTCAGTGGTGTGACTATGGGGGTTTCCCATGGACTGCTGTCCACAGGCTCTAAGATGTCCTGCTGGACCAGCTTGTCCAGCTTTGCATTAATCTTGTTCTTCAACGCGAAGGGCACCCGTTGGGGCTTAATCCTAATGGGTGTGACTGCTGGATCTAAACGTAAAGCAATGGGAGGCCCCTTGTATGAGCCAAGCTCTGAACTGAACACATCAGCAAACTCTTTGCAAATTTCTGCAAGGCCTGTCATTTGCAAACTGTGAAGTCCAGTCACTTGAATCCCAAGGGCCTCGAACCAATCGAGTCCAATAAGACTATCAATAAGTCCAACTACCACCAGATCTAGCAACCCTTCAAAATTCCTATGCTGCACCTTGAGTGTGGCCTCCCCCTTCACGCTGACTCAGGAATTCTGGAAGTCAGTAAGAATTAAATTCGATGGTCTGAGTTTAACTCGTAGGCCACTTCTACAACAAATCTTTTTGAAAGTGTCTTGGGAAATGATCGATAAAGCGGATCCTGTGTCCAACTCCATCAATAAGGGAACCACTTGCAACTTCATGTCAATGTGAAGCTTCTTCCTAAGTGGCCTATGGGCCCCGGTTTTAAAAATGCTTCTACGGGATGTGCAAAAACTCACCCAGTTCTGGCTGGGGACCCTGGTACCTTTCTGAAGTAATTCTGGTGACCCAAACAGAAAGAGGCAATGTGGCCTTGCCTGCCACATGCCTGGCAAATAGCGGAGCGGAAATGGCAATCAGAGCGCTTGTGGTGTCCTCCACATCCGAAACACTGAGGGAATGAGGTTGCCTTGTCTTTGCACTCTTGAGGCCTTCTCTCTGCTGGCTGCTGTAATCGGTCCACCTCCATCTCTGGATCCTGTTCGTATTCTTCCCAAGAGACCTCTTGATGGATGGAGATCGAAGTTGGAGGGTTCTTGGCGAGCCACAATGCCTTCACAGCTCCGCCCGCCATTTCTTCAGCTGTAATTTCTCTCAAGGCATCTTGGAAAGAGATGTATTCCTTTGTGAAGATCTTCTGTTGCAGCTCATGACTTCTCAGTCCACAAACTAAACGATCCCAAAGTCTCTCTTCCAGGTCCTTGAATTTGCATGGCCTAGCTGCTTGTCGTAGTGCGGCAATAAAGTCCGCAGCAGACTCACCAGGCCTCTGGTCCCTCTGCTCAAATGCATGTTGCCATGCAATCACCAAAAGCTTTGGTTCAAAATGTTCTTGCAGCTTTCTTTTCAGCTCAGCATAAGCAATGGATTCAAGTGGTGCTGGGGTGATCAGATTCTCTGCAATATCGAAAGTCTCTTGCCCACAGACACACAGCAGTGTAGCAGCTTTAAGACCATCTTCTCGGATTTGATTTACCTGAAAGTAGCTCTCTACCCGGGCCACGTAAGAAGTCCAGCGTTCCGGATAAGCTGTGTCAAATTCAGAGAGACGGTCTAGTTTGGATATTGTTACTGCCCTGTAGCCTCATCAATGCCTCGTGCTGCAAGGTTGAGAAGGGGTCCCTTTTGCCAAGCTCTCCTCCAGCGTTTTTGTACTGGCAGGCAGAGTTGCACTCTCCGGAC